TGGCAGCTGCACTCTGAGTAATGGTGAGGAAATTGGTGATGTCAACAGAACTAGAGTCTTCCAGCTTAAATTTTTATATGATTGTTAAGGGTTTTAATAAGTCTAACACGTCAGAGGTTAATGGAGCCTCTTCGTCAGGAAAACTCTGAAGTCTGCGTTCATAAACATTTAGGTAGAAGCAAAAGACTTCTCGATACTTGAAAGATGGAGGGTATTTAACTCACCCTCTGGAAAAATCAGTGTTTTATTATCTGTCTTAAAAAAATTCTGTAAGGATCTATCTTCAGGATGGAATACTTTCTGACCCACGTTAGTTCATTTAACTCTGCAAATGTGCGTCTTGTGATTGATACTCTTTACTAAAAACATCAGTATAAATAAATATTCCATCTCTGGTCTGCACTAACACACACGGACAGAAGACGAGGACTGACATGAGTAAGTAGGCAAAGAATCCTTCCAGGATGGAGGAAGCCAACTAGAGTAGGGGTTGGGACAGAAAAATAAGTACAGGGTGCCTCCAGCTCCTCTGCATTAAACAGGAAGAAAAGTAGCAAAGGTAGGCGACTAAGACTCAAGCAAAGTATTAAAGGAATTGCAAAACCACAGTCATCGTGATGTCAGAAGCAGGATGCTCAAAAAGTAGCCATCCGGCCGTGCAAACTGCCTTTGATGGTTCCAGTTTTTTCTTCTAGTTGCCAGGACCCTTGGGCTTATGCAAGCATCCCAAGTTGAACAATGCTGTCTATGCTTGAGCCATGGGTCTTATTTCCAATTTTAATTCATTGTGTTGACCTCTGGACGCTGCTAATTAGGCTTGAAGTGAACTGAATTAAAATGTATTCTTATGCCGTACTCAGATAACCACATTTGCAATGGCAAAATAAAGACCACACTATTCTCATTTTAAATGTGAAACGTTTCCCCCAAATGATGAGTTTGGGCTGTATAATAAATTCATCTGCAACTGGTAACAGCATGAAGCAGACATTATGCCTGAGGAAATAAAAATAAAACAAACAAACAAGAACATACTGGTAGAAGCATCTCCGACAGGAGACGTTCACCAGGGACTCATTAGAATCTGTGAGTTTTACCTTCACACACGGGGCAGCACTCCCCGGGCACTTTCACGGGGTGCATGCAGCTCTGTCCACAGGCTGTTGCAACGCAGTGGGGCTCTCCGTTGATACACTGGCAGAACGTACAGTCGTCTTCCCGCCACCGGTCTCCATGGGCACGGATCTGGCCATTGGCATAGCAGCCCGCAGGGTTATTAAAAGGATACACTGGATCTAAAGTAAAACATGAGTTTAAAGGAAGAGTGAGCACATTCTGAGTCTTATCTCTGCCTCTATCCAGAGACATTTTTCTTTTCTCTGGGTTTTATTCATCAGCAGTTCTGTTCCAACTGTGATCAAAAGAAGCATGGGGTCGCACGAGGTTTCCCCAGGGGGTATGAGCAAAAGCAGATGTCGTAGCAAATGTTACGTTTACTCATCTGACACAGTAGTCAGGGAAGAGGATCTGTGGCCTAAAAACCTATGTGCAGGTGTCACCAATCCACAAAGCTAGAAAGTTTAGTGGACAATAATGAGAAAACAGGGATCCATTTTAGGCTCTGATAATGCCTTCAGATTTGTTGACTTAAATGTTCATCACACCTAGATTTCACTACTTAGGAAGCAAAACAAATACTGCCCTATCTAATTTAGAATACTACTGGTATTTCCAGGACTAACTGAGCTACGTCTCACAGAGCCAGCCCTTACTGTGGCCTTGTTCATGATAAGGCTGTTTAGATGTACCATGGGTCACTGTTTGTGCCTTGGAGGAAGGCTGTGATCTTAAGCTAGCTTTCTTCACATAGCTGGGCAGCTAAGCAGTAGCCACTACTGTAAAAAAAATTGTTTATTGAATTTATTGACAAAGATACAAATATTGCATGCCATGTCTCTGAGTATCCCTATATTGAAGGCAAATAAATTACTCAATTTTCTTTCTCAGAAATACATAAAAACTGGCTTCACACACACTGCTGTGTTGGGAGAACAGTCTAGATAATTTAGAATTTGGCCATCTTTATTCTGAGGAAGCAATAGGGCATTGGAAGAAAGAAAGTCAAAATTTAAAATAATGCAGTCACAGCTTTAGAAAGGCAGGCTGCCAGTGATGGAAGTGGCAAACAGACCTGTACTAGATAAGACTTCATAAATTCCTTTATAAATACTAAACACTTCATTTCTACTTTGAGGCTGGATCTGAATTCCAGGAAGTGAGACATGACCGGATCCCAGACAACTCATTACAATCATTACCCAGAGGTTCCTATTTATGTTTTTACACCACCAACCTCTACATGGTTTCAGAAACTATCATAAGCTTAAAAGTTTAATGGATTTTTTTTTTTTTTTTTTAGTCTTAAGTGACACCTAAAAAGTAGACTATTTTCTCCTGTGTGGCTAAAATAATTTCTAACAGGGAAAAGGTCCCGTTGTTGTGAATAACTGATCAATGTCAGGCACGGAAACATTTTCTGACCTTCAGTATTATTTGGCAAATACACTTCAAACTAAAAGGACTTTAGGAAAAGGGAAGAAAGTGTGAACCTTCTCACTTTGCATGCAGACTCCAGGTAGGAGACTTCAGACTGAGATGTGTGGCCTGGTGATGACAAAATGGTCACATGATCTTCTCTGGGGAAAACTATTGCAAGGAAAAAGCCACAGACACAGCCAGACACAGGAGTTTCGTTCTTGGCCTCAATGCAAACTCAGGCAAGTGGCTTTACTTTTCTGAACTTCAATGTCTTAATCTTTAAAGCTCATGGGTTATAGTGAATGATAGAGGCACTGTTCTGAGATATTTCTTTATGAGTATCAGGGATGGGAACATACAGCCTATTAGAGGAACATGGAAATGTACTTCTTGGAGAGAAGAGAGGAGTACATACAAAAAAAGTCAGTCCCCAAAACTCACATCTGACACCTGCCTGGGCCTGGAACTGTTACCACCAGACCACAGCACAACCCCCTCTTCTAAGTTTAAGGAAGTGGGAGAGGGGGTTGCTTCTCTGGGCTGACTGGGCTGAGATTGTCAGTGACAAAGCCCATCCTATCTTGGCCAGACAGAGCCACGCAAGCAAGAGTAGGTGGCGAATTCCAATGCCAGAGTGAAGACAAAGCTTTGCCCCGGGACCCGCTAGTGAACCGTGAGAACGGCAGGGCAGGCACAGAAAGTAACTCTGGGAACTCTCTCGCTGGCCTGAGGGAACAGGTGACCCAGGTGATACCCAGGGCATACCTTCCCTTGGGGAAGCATCTCCACACTCTACCTGGCACCATCAACATTCCAAAATGTAGACCATAGCGTCATGAGAAAGGAACTTCAGCATTCTTCTACTTTGGATGAGACTACATTAGGTCAACTCTGATGCTAAAACTCTGTAGCAGGGATGCTCATGGTAATCTTTAACGCCCTTTTCTTACCTTCACACACTGGGCAGCACTCCCCTTCGGGCACGTAGTACCTCTCACAGTTCAGCTCGCCGCACTGGGCAGTGAAGCAGATGGACACGCCCCCTTGGCACCGACAGAAGCGACAGTTGTCCATTCGAAACATGTCTCCGTCATAATATTCCACGTTGTTGAAGACACAGGCTGGCTTTGTTTCTGAGAGGAGTTGAAACAAACAAGGTACATTTGAAGTCTTTCTCGAGTGCTGTCCTTTAATGTTTTCAAACAGCGTCTAGAAGGTTCTGTCTAATAGCAGGAGGTTGTAACGTGATGGAAATTTACTCAACTCATTATAACTTTATGTGACAGAAGCGAAAAGCAAAGTAAAATAAACAAAACACATTGTTATCCTGTTTATAACAAGGAATTGAAATTCCCCTTAGCAAAACCTACCATGACTTCCTCCCACCCCAAATAAAGCTAAACTTTATGACCATGAAACTCACGTATCTGGTATGTGCTTTAAACAGATTCTGTTTGTCTTGTTAAATCATTCTCTACTTCAAATGAATGATCGTGCCTTCACATTAGCTTTTATTCTGCCTTAAAAAATTTATTGAGGCCTTTCTGGAGGTGACAATGCTCTGTTCCTCCAGGGTTCACTCTTAAATTCTTTTTTTCTGTCTAGTTTGAAAATCTATGATTTTAATAGTGTTTGGCCTGTAACACAACACTTTCTACATGTATTTCCTCACTTAATCCCAATTATCTGATGTAGGTATTATTATGCTGAGGTTAGAAGTGAGGACATTTACACTTAAAGTCATACATTTAGCAAATGACAGAAGCAATAATAGCTCATCAACTAAAATCTGTGCTTTCCATTATGTTTCAAGGTTATATTCAGCTAAGGACTCATAAGCTAATATTTAGAACTTGCATCATGATACCAATTTTTTTTTCTTGAAACTGGGTCTTGTTCTGTTCCCCTCACTGGAGTGCCATGGTGTCATCATAGCTCACTGCAGCCTCAAAACGCCTGGGCTCAAGTCATCCTCCTGCTTCATTCTCTGAAGTAGCTTAGACTACAGGTACATGCCACCCTGCCTAGCTAATCTAATCCTTCCTTCTTTTCTCTCTCTCTCTTTTGGTTTAGATGGGGTATTACTATGTGAGCCTCCTATCTCTGCTTCCCAAAATACTAGGATTACAGGTGTAAGCCACCACACCCAGCCATACAAATGATTTTTAGATATGTCTCTGCCGTGAAAGACTCTCCCTAAGTTTGTTCTTTACCTTTAATTTTGGTTGATTTAAAATAACTCCCACCAGACAAAGCTATCACCAGAAAACAGCTCAACTGCTGGTCAACAGTTACAATCCAAATTCATTCATCCAGATTAATGTAGATGCAAAAATCTTCAACACATCCAGCAACATATAAGCAGGATTATATACCATGACCAAATTAGAATTATTCCCAGAATGCAAGGTTGGTTTAAAATCTAAAAAGTCAATTAATGTAGTAACATACACGTCAATAGCATAAAGAACAAATCCATACAATCATCTCAATAGGGTTTTCTGCATTTGACAGAATCTGATATTCTTTCCTGATTAAAAAAATCCTCTACACACTAGGAATAGAAGGTAACTTCTGCACCTTGATAAACAGCATTTATAAAAGCTCCCCACTGCTAATGTCATCCTTAATGGTCAAAAACTAAATGCTTTCCCCCTAAAATCAAGAACAAGACAATGATATCCACTCTCACCACTTTAATTCAAAATTGTAGTGGAAGTTCTAGCCAGTGAAATTAGGGAAGAAAAATATATAAAAAGCATCCAGATTAGAAAGAACGAAAAAACTATCTCTAATTGCAGATGACATGATATTACTTATAAAACATTCTAAAGAATATACTAAAAAGCTATCAAAACTTAAAAATTTAAGTGCAACAAGTTTGTAGTGTATAACTGCACCCCCCCCCCAAACTGTGTTTCTTTCTATACCCTAACAATGATCAGTAAATGAAGTTAAGAAAATCCTGTTCTCAATATATCAAAGAGAATAAAATATCTAGGAATAAAACAAACAAAGTAAGTGCAAAACTTACACTCTGAATAAGAGAAAATACTACTGAAATGAATTTATAAAGCCTAATAAATGTAAAGATGACCTATGTTCATGGATTGGAAGACAATACTGTTAAGATAGAACTATTCTCTAAATTGATCTACCTATTCAATGCAATCAAAAATCCCTATCAAAATCCTAGCTGACTCTTCGGTAGAAATTGATAAGTCGATCCTAAAATTCATTTGAAAATAGACCCAAAATTGCCAAAATAATCTTAAAAAGGAAAAAAAGTTAGAGAACTCTCCCTTCCTGATTTTTTTTTAAATGGAAAGTTTACCACTTTCACTTTATTAGCCTACTTTCGGAATAGGATGAGGAGAATGGGGTTGAGGTCAGGTATGAAGGGAGAGGGTTAAAATCTGTGATGGTAAAGATCCCTCAGAACTCTGGTGCAGTCCTCAATCACGGCAGCTCAACTGCCGGTCAACAGAGTTACAATCCAAAAGATTCAAAGATGTGTCCACTTCTGTGTCCAGTGATTCTTCAGTTACAGTGGGATGAGGTCTACCAGGCTGCCTTTAGGATGAGTCATGCTGTCAGCAAAGAAATTTACTAAGGTGTCAGACAGTTGAGTTCTTTGAGCATGGGTGTGATCCACATTGGAAAGCCCAGAACTGTAAAATCCAAACCAGATTTGAATAGAGCTAATGCTAGGAGCTGAAACTCTTTCGTTTCTTCTGGGTCTGAATGATCCACAGTTACATTAAGGTCATTTTGTAAATATTTCAGAGCATTAAGGGGATCCACCTGGGCATTTTCTTCAAACCTGTGTTTTCTTATGAGGTACCTGCAACACCTCAATAAGTAATCTTTCGAAGGTCTACACAACTTCAGTGACCAGAAGTCATCTAATCGCATCTCTGGAGAGCAAGACTTTCCTGGATTTCCACTAAACAATATCATGAGCTAAACCTTGTGTAGCTCATCATATACAAGCTAAGGGGCAAATCCTGGACATGGTTCTTCTTCCTGAGCACTTTTATTTGGATTATCCTTTGCAGCCTGGTCATTCTTTTTTTTTTTTTTTTTTTTTGCAGTTTTTGGTCGGGTCTGGGTTTGAACCTACCACCTCCGGTATATGGGGCCAGCGCACTACTCCTTTCAGCTACAGGCGCCGCCCGCAGCCTGGTCATTCTTATAGATGCAGGACCAACTATTCCTCACAATGTCATAAATCCAGAATGAATTGCTGATGTTTTCTTCCCTCTTTTCCTTATCTTTGCTGAGTCCAGATAAAACATGTATTTCATCAGTTCTGAATCCACAGTTGCTCTTTGTGTATATCCTGTCATTGGAACCATCCCAGAGTCTATCAGAGTCCACATCATAACTAAAGAAATCATTCAAATAGGTCTTTGATCATTGGCCACCAAATATAAACAACGATTTTTTGAATAGAAGAGCATGCAGTGTCCTATCTGAGGCTGGATGTCCTCAGGCCCATCATTACAGGAGTCCTCTTGAAGACGATGACACTGGCAGTTGAAGCAAACAACCCCCTGATATATATATATATAGTTCAGTGGAAGTAAGAGTTCAGAAATAGGCTATAACATCTACTGACTTTTCACAAGGGAGACAAGACAGTTCACAGTCTTTCAACAAATGGTGCTGGGGCAACTGTATCAAAAGAAGGAAGCTGTCCCCCCTTCCCCCCTATATCATATGCCATATATAAAAATTAACTCAAAATGCATCATAGAGCTACAATTCAAATGTACTGTCTCTAACTGTAGAGATCTTAGAACAAAACACAGGGTAAATCTTTGTGACCTTGGATCAGTCAGTGGTTTCTTAGATATGACACTAATAGCATCAGCAACAAAAGAAAAACAGACAAACTGGACTTCACCTACTTTTGTTCTGCAAAGGAAGCCATCGAGAAAGTAAAAGGAGAACTCAAAGACCGAGAGAAAACTGCATTCATGTTATTTGATTAAAAAGAAACAAACACCCCTATTCAGAACTCTTTAACTCAACAAAAAATAACTCAGTTGAAAAATGGGCAAACATTTTGAATGGACGCTTCTCCAAATAAGATATAGAAATGGCCAACAAACACATAAAAACACATTCAACAATGTAAGTCATTAGGGGATGCAAATCAAAGCCACAACGAGACACCACTTCACATCCACTAGGAGGCCTATAATCAAAAAGGTGGGGGGTGTTGATGAGGGGGTAGAGAAATCAAAATTTTCACATACTGCTAGTGAGAACATGAAAGGACAGCTGCTCTGGAAAACAGCTGAGATTTCCTCAAAATATTAAACGCAGAATTACATATGATCAAGCAACTCCACTCCTAGGTATACACTCCAGAGAAATAAAAAACTTGTACACAAACGTTCATAGTAGCACAACAGCCAAAAACTGTCCATTAAGTGACGTATGGATAAACAAAAGTGATATATCCAATAAAATAATGTTTGTCCCTCAAGCAGAATGAAGTTCTGATATGTGCTACAACATGAATGAACCTTGAAAACATGCTAAGCGAAAGAAGCCAGCCAGCCAGCCACAAAGCACCACGTGTGGCATGATTCATGTGAAATACACCTAACAGGCCTATCGATGGAGACAGACTAGTGACTGTCCACTGTGGGGGGCACTGGCGGAACAGGAGGTTATGACTGTTAATGGGTTCAGGAGGTTTTCTTTTTGTGTGTGTGTGGGGTGTTGATGAAAATGTTCTAACACTGACTGTGGTGATGACTGTACAACTATGTGGATACATTAAAAATAACTGGACTATACAAATTATATTGGTGAACCACACACCATGTGTTTGTAGAGCTATTTAACCCTTTGACTTTGGAACACTCAGAAATGAAACGTGCCAGCTGAGGTAGGGAGCATCGCAATAATCATTACAATACACAGTGGGCTGGCAGATGTTCTTTGGTTTCTTAATTCACCCAAGTTGGTTTTAGTTTCCACTATTTGTAGGAATTGTTTCAGGCACGACTGTGAAAAATACTGAGAACGAAGCATATGATGCTTATAGACGCAAGTCAGGTAACAACAGTGACGTGTGTCCTTAAATTTTTGTTTGCACAATGAACAACGCCCCAAA